TATATATATATATTAAAATTATTAAATTTTTAATGGAAGAGACTAAAATCGCACAATTATGATATTTAAGGGACTAAAATTGTTTAATTAAAAATTGAAGGACTAAAATCGCACAATTACAATCTTTTAGAGACTAAAATTACCCAATTAAAATTTTAGGGATCAAAATTGCTCAATTACAATACTTGAGGGATAAAAATGCAATTAAACCCTAAAACTACTTAGAGGAGCCATCTATAACAGCATGCATAAAGAACGGAAGAAAAATTTTATTCAGGTTTATTTTAACTAATAAGAGAACAATTAGCCTAAAATAGTAATATAAGACAATCAAAACTAATGGACCACTTGTATGTGTCACTATTGGATGTCAAATGAAAGCTTTAACAAGAGTTGAGACTTTATCTTTATACTTTTGTATTTTAATTATAATGATTAAAATATAAAAATTAATAATTTTAATTGTTTAATAATTTAAAGTACAATTTATGATAGTAATTTAATATTAAAGCTCATACTATATATTTAAGTAAAATTTAATTTAATTGTTAATTTTTTATTTTTTAGGTTTCTTGGTATTTATTAAATTTTACATATCTCTAGAATTAAAATAAAATTAACAAGTTAATGTGTTTTATTTAAAAATATATACTAAAATTAAGGATTCATCTCTACATATAATACCATGTATGTATGTTGAGAAAATGTGTGTTTACTACCATACATGTAATCCTTTGTTTATAATGAATAAGGATATAAAATAAATTAATACAAAAATAAAAGATAACAGGTAATAATGAGTAGAATGCATAATTTTCACTATACAAGTTTCCATAATTATAAATGAATCATATCAAACTAAATCATATATTTAACATTTCAGCTCAAGTTGGAGCACATATGTCATATGAGTCGAACTTGTTACAAATGTCATCAACTCAGAAGCTCTTGAGGGGTTTAATGAATATATATGTCAATTGGTGGTAGTAGTTGCATGCAAGATAGCATGGCTTAAGCAACTTCTCCAACAATTAAAATTTTAAAAATTTTCATTGACCTTGTCTCTTATGATTTGTTTGGAAAAAAGATAAGTGGAAGAGAAGAGAAAAGAAGTGTTTTCCATTCCAATTGCTTCTCTCAATCAATTATTTTCGTTCTTTCTTAGTACCATAGTTAAGTTTTTCACCCATTCATAAACTTGATCACTAGTTAAGGACGTTGGAGTTACTTCATTTTCCTAACAACCATTAAATATTTTCTTCAATCTATGCCGTAGATGATTACAACTAAGAAATTTTTTATGGTCAAGGTAAATTATTTGTCTTCCATATTGTAATTAATGGTGAGATATGCCCTTTTCAAATATAGGACACGCTTTGTGTCCCTTAACATTGTAGCCACTCAAGCTATCATATGTTAG